AATTTTCAAAAAAAAAAAAAAAAAAAACTATAGGTGATTCATTGGAATTTAGTCATCTCTACTCTCCTAGAGGATTTGGCCTTTTCTTTATTTCTTCCTTTTTACATGTGAATAAAAGAAAAAGTGTAGAAGAAAATTATTATTTTTTTCTATAGGCTAACATGTCTAGTCTATAAATAATCATAAAATTGGAATCTTAGGCCTTATAGAGCTGTGGTTAAGCTGCAAAGCACTATAAAAAAATAATAATTAGATTAAATATTTTAATATTATATGTGGGCGAAATTTTCGTAAGAAGCATCCTTTGTGTGTCATTTAAGGGAACGAGCAGGTTTTAAAAATATTTTAAGAAGCAGCAAATGCGCTGTAATGGTAGGCGTATTCAAAGAATACGCCGTAACGGTAGGCGTATTCAAAGAATACGCCGTATTGGTTGGCGCATTCTTTGAAAGTGCGAATTAGTTTGGCGCGTTCTGAGCAGTACGCTTGATATGCAGGCGTATTCCTCTCAAATTATTATTTTGGCCGGTGGTCAGTCCGTTTAATCAGGTAACGCCATTATATCATTTCATTGCAATTAGATTTTCCTTGTTTTCAGCTGAACATGGTTTTCAGTACGAGTGAATTTTTTTTTGGGAAACATCAAATGTAATGATTACTTTTAAATAGAAGAGAAGTAGAAGCTTTTTTTTGTCTCGTTTTGTGGTCCTCATGTTGAGACCAAATATTGGGAAGAAATGAAAGTAAATGAACAATTATTAGAACCTAAATTTTTTGTAATGAATTAAAAAAAGTTTAGTAGTATTTGTTAATGAGTTATATATATTGTTTCTGATTAAGAATCAATATTTCAATAATTTTTAATTTAGTAAGACAATTTAATTGTGGTAGTAAATTATTTTTAAAAGCTTAAAATAAATTTTAGTTTAAAAAAAATTATGAAAAATGATGATTAATAAAATAATTTAATTTTTATGAAAAGTATTAGAAATTTTAAAAATAAGAAATAAAAGATAACTTAATGTATATTTTGGATTAAAGCTGAGCATATTCTCTACTCTTTTTTGAAGTTGATGTTTCAGATTGTGTAGTACTTAGCAAAATAAGTAATGACCGGTAGAAGGATAAAACTTAAAATTTGGAATTGAAATAGTGCGGAAAGTAATCAACACAAGTTCATTTTAATACGTACGATAATGATTGAAAGCAACAATAAAAAAAAAACTATTATTACATGTGGCTTAGTACTATGCGCATACGCGCTTGGAGTTGGGTTAAAGTTGGACAGCATAAGAATTTTTCTGTGAACTGCTTTTGGATGTAGTGCCAATCTTTTATATTTAAGAACTCCTTCTTCTTTTTACCATCTATAATATTCAGCTCTTGATATTTTTCTGTTAGAAATGCATCTTGATAAGTATGCCACCTTTTATAAAGAATACAATGTTGCACATCAGTTATTGGATTCTCAACATTTACCACAACAGAACCATCTTTTTGCCGTGCAATTTCACCAATTCTTGTCCTAAGAATATTTATCGGAGCAAAATGACCATTATGATCTATAAATCTTTGTTGTACGAATTTCCAACCCATATCAGTAATTATTTCTCCAACCACATACATGGGGTAATGAGTTTTGATAACTTCATGATACGCATCCCATAAACTGTCATCTTCATACCAAGACCACTCATGTAGACAACATCGAAAAATTTCATTTGATCTTGATTTCTCCTCCAAGTATTCATCCATGGGATACGACATAGATTCTGTCAATCGAATAGTACCATCATAGATCAACTTCTTTCTTGGAATAATATGTAGGAAATCTCTTGATGGCGATCGCTTTATTGATGAGGTACTTGATGATGAAGACATTAAATGCTGAATTTTTAGCAAATGCAATATGAGTTATCATTATTAAAATAATAGTACATACCATTTAAAAGAAATGAGTTTAGAAGTAGACTCACATTTAATAAAACAGAGATGAATTCGAGTAGCAATTACAAACAAAAATATTAGGCATTAACATCAGTAGAGAAAATTACATTTTAAATTTGTGACGAAAGAACAACATGAAGTACTTTTTCGAAGTTAGTGATTCATATTGTTTAGTAGATATCGTAGACGATTTTGGATCTGTGTTTGTGTAGGACAACAATAGAAGTTGATCTGAAACTGAAGTTGTATTTGCTGCCAATCTTCTCCATTAAGAAATTCCTTTGCTTTAGCCTCTTTAGAACTTTGCAATAACTGTTTATAAGAATGTAAAATGTGTTTATCATGTTCAGCCGTCCAGTTGGAGTATAAAATACAATTATCTATATCCATCATGGACCTTCCAAAACCCGGTTTAATGTCACAATTTTTATCACGATAAAGTTCTATAATTCGACCTTTCAGGAAATCGATTGCAACAAGGTGGTGCTTAAAATCGGTAAAACCTTCTTGTATACATTTCCAGCCTAACTCTCGACGTGCAGTATTACCTCTATATTCCTTCTCTTTCATTGTATCATCATGTAAATGCCACAGTAAGTAATCTTCATCTTCATCCCAAGTATGTATAACACACCTAAATAGTTCATTTGATAATACCCTGGTTTCAAGGTCCTCAGCGGTAGGATAAGATAAGCTTTCACGCACCCGGATAGTACCCTCTGTAATCCATTGTTTTCTTTCCACATTGCTGATATCATCCAAAATTTCATTTCTTGTTACTTTTGCTTCTACAAAATCATGTGAACTGGCACTTCCTTCTCCTTTCATGTAAACAATCGTTGTCCTATGTTGCATGGAGGGAAAAATAAGGTGAAATTAGTTAAGGAAACGTCGAACCCTATTTGAAGTGGTATGTGTTAAAATACATTTTCGCAAGTAACCTGTAGTAAAAATGACTTAGCGAAATAAAAATTAATTGAAGTCAAACAAATAAATTTATCTTTATTAATAACCATATAGTAGAGTGCACACAATGGAAGATATTAAATTACGGTTGCAATAAAACCTTAGTTGTCACCAAACATTAACATTTACATTCACACGGAAATACTGAACGCAGCGTAAACTAGAGAAATTATTATTACAGAGTATCTAACGATGACGCCGGAGAGCCCTACTACCGGGAGTATACCTATCTGGGGCCCTTCTTCTTCGTCGTTGTAGCTGTTGCTCTTCCTCAATAAAATCCTCTTCTTGTTCTTGTAATTCTGGTGGTCGTTGTGCCGCAACAGGGTATTGTTGTGGTGTTACTCCTCCCATTAATAGTATATCTTGCTGTGTGGGGGAGGACGGTAACCCTACATTTGACATCCACTCTGGGACTGAAACTGGGAAAAATGAATGTGTTGTGGGATGCTGAGATGGTGTACCGTAATATATTTCATGTGTACCACTTTCTTGCATAGGAAACGTGCTATAATGTTGTGTTGATGGCCCTTCCCCAGTCATGTCATAGGCGGACGACGGAATATGCATTGAATGTCTAGATGGTTCACGCTCCGTATTTTGGCGTCGACGACTTCTCATGGATCTAGAAGGAGCATCAGAGGTAGATCGTCTTGCATCTTCAGCCCTACCTTGACTCCGTTCTTCTATTGTGGTGTCAAAAGTTGTATAGTCGATATAAACTGAACGTTGCACTCTAGCCGATAATTCAGCAACCTGGTCAACTGCTAACTGCAATGAACTTGCATTTTGTCCTTGACCTCCAACCAATGGCTCTATAAGTGCGGTTGAACGGATGTAGTAGTCAGCCTACAAGATGCGATATGGATTTTAAATTACCGGCTTGAAAGGAAAATTTAAAAATTATTATTAAATAAACTTACATACCACTAATCGTTCTCCTGGAGATCGAGGGAAGAAAGTCTCAGGTGGATCCGTCTGTGGCTGCAACAGATAAATCGATGCCCATGATCTATACCACCGTAGGTAAGTGCCTAACTCCCGGTTACCTGTGCCTTCTGGTGGAGTTATTGGTACAGTATATGCTCTCCTTTCTTCCCATATCTCAAGGTAATCCCTATACTGAATTGTCCAATCTAAATCTGCTCGACCTCTACCATCAATCCTCCTGAAATTTGGTTCCATCGGTGGAATATCCGTTAACTGTACTCCCCCGAATTGCCTCATCACACGGTCAGGTAGATGCCACTCGGTACGCTTCCAGCTTATAAGTGGTACTCGAGCGCGCCATATGTCTCTCCCCTCCAAACATTGGCTAGGCAAAGCACCAAGGATCTCATCCGTGTAAGGAGTCATGGTCACCTAGTAGCAAATAAGTTATAGATAATAAAGTATTATTGATATTGCAAATAATAACTTTGGTAGTTAGTTTAATAAATCGTTTTACCTGACTAATACGTAAACCGTCGAATTCGTCACGATATATCATCGTGTTACCGGTTGGTAGTTCTCGTATTCGATCTTCAGCCCATCTATATTTAACAGTATAGATAATTCAAATTATGCTTTTAAGTTGAAATAAATATACTAAATTGTAATGCATACCTGCACGCCAATGGTTTGCCGTCGAAATCGTGTATTTGTGGCACACGTAGTGTGGGTCTCCCTATATATAATCGCTCCCAAGACCAAACTTGCAGTAATGCCACACATCCAGCAATATAAGTGCGTGTTGGCCTAGTAGCATGGTACAACTCCCTGTATAGATGTGCAAGTACGACGCTACCAATAGACATTCGGGCAAAGCTTTCAACATTCACTAATAAGGGTAACCACTGCAATGACACATGTGATCGTGATGTATCGGGTAACAAGAAGCATCCAATCATGAACAGAATATAGGCCCGAACATGTTGAAGAAATGGACCATGACCTAAGTCGTCGTATGAATCTTGATAGAATGTCCAACGGAGCCAACGCAAAGGAAGCATTGAGTCAACTTGTGCACTGCCCATCCTGAAGGTGGCAGTGTCTTCTTCATCACCCGGTGCATGATACATAGTATCCCTGCCTGGATGTGTTCCTAGCAGTTCATCACAGCATTCTGGCCAGGATTCCCAACGACGACCAACACCAACCACATTCGGGCCTACCAAAGCGGGGCCATCTATTCTCAAGCCTAGTATAACCTGGACATCTTGTAGTGTTATTGTCATCTCCCCAACCGTAAAATGAAAGCTGTTTGTCAGTGGACACCATCGCTCTACAAGTGCTGTTATGAGGTTATGATCCAAACGAATGAATTGTAGGTGTCGATCGAATGTTATGCAGACCAAGATTTCGTAAGACATAAATCATTCTAGGGCACTCCACAGGCCATTCTCGTGCGGTCCGTAAATGGGTTGAAGGAACGAGCGGAGAAGCCTATTATCAATGAAAAAGTAAGAATCAGTCTAAAAAAGAACTTAATATGTTACTATATAAGAAATGTAATGCGACTACTAGGTAACCTGATCAGGATCATGAGCCCTATGTGATGCGCCTATTGAAGCAATGCTCATTTCTTGAATTGACTCCTCCCCGTGGTCTGCATGTCTGCTACGACGCCCACCACGCCGTTGCCTAGATCTTTCTGCCATTAACTATATTGGCATAACCAATTATTTTTTAATGCAACAGTATAAGGAGTCGTGCAAAGATTAAATGCATTAAACAAAATTTTTATTACACAACATTCATCATTGTTCGGATGTTTAAACTAGCATACATATAATAATGATTAATCTATTACACAACAAGTAAGTGCCTCAAGAAAATCTGTACTCTTCTAGAACTAGAACAGAGTCCTTGGACGTAGCTTTGAGATTGCATCCCTCGATCTACCGACGATATCTTTAAATCATTAAGAAAAAAATTAATCAGTTGAATCAATCTTGAAGTCAAGCTAACCATATCACATTTTATAGTAAAATAAATATTGTTTAGATATTTTTAATACCTTGATGATCCAGGATTATTTGGGCATGTTGATCTATTATGACCATTTTGCTTGCAATGTCCGCACCTCTTATTAGATGTTGAATTAGCCTCATCCATTGTGTTACGAAATCTATTAGTCCTCGGTCTGCCTGCCCGCCTTCGGAAAGCAGGCGCAAGCAAAGGTATGATTCCCTGAGCTTCGCTGAAGTTTGGCCAAACTTCCTTTGGGGGCATAACATGAAAGAGGCCTGAGTACGTTTCCCTATAGGAGTTGAGTGTGAAGTACTGTGATACGAACTGATTATGATTCCATCGCCTATATCCGGCGACCGCTACGACATGAACGCACGGCACATGATAGAGTTGTGGTCTCTTACATGTGTAGGTACAATTTTGAAGTGATTGAATCTCAACTCTATTTGGTCGACATGATGAATCCACAACTTCAAATTCACCTCTGTTAATAGTTATGGGTTGTGGGCATCTTCTAGCCTCACGTTCTGTTCGATGTAATGTAGCCATCGTACGCGGAGCAAACTCAGATTCCCCAGACATTTGCCACTTCTCAACGTCTGTTGAACGCCTAACAAATAAAGATACAAGGTTATAGTATATGGACATTACCAGACCTTGAATTGGAAGTCCACGGGCACGTTTAATAACTCCATTAAAACATTCTGATGCATTGGTTGTCATGATGCCGTATCGAAATCCATTGTCAAATAGTAATGACCACTTACTAACATCACGTTCTATTAACCAGTCATATGCCTCTTGCTTTACATTTTTAATGTGGTTTATCATGCGAGTGAAGTTCACGATCTCATCAGTAGTACCAGCTAAGTACATGTTAATGCAGAGGCCTTCAACATCAGGAATTGCTTTACGCCGTAAAAATTTTTTGTAATTCTCACGCAGATGACGGAGGCAATGTCTATGAACGGCGTTAGGAAAAATTTCTCTACACCCTCTTACCAAACCAGGATGCTTATCAGATATTATACATAAATTTTGACGGAGTTTAACTACTTCAACCAGGTCATGTAAGTTCTTAAGGAACCAAACCCAAGATTCATTGCTTTCGGATTCAACAACTGCAAAAGCCAACGGAAATAATCCACCGTTTGCATCAATTCCCACAGCCACAAGAAGTGTGCCACGATACTTCCCTAGTAGGAAAGTACCATCAAGGCTTAGGACGGGCCGGCAATGTTGCCACCCAGAAATTGAGGGGCCAAATGCCCAAAATAAAGCCTTGAATCGTGATCCGCCAACCATTTCAATATTGGATACAGTTCCTGGCTGTGTCAACCGTATAGCTTCCATGAAACGTATTAGGGAACGATATGATTCCTCATATGAACCAAATATTGATTCGATAGCTTTTCTACGTGCATCCCATGCCTTCATGTATGAAATCTTCATTTCAAACTTCGACTCTATTCTTGCAATTACCTCCTTCGGCTTCATATCGAGCTGTTGTTTTATAATAGGCATAATATGCCTACATATAAATTTTGATGTGCAATTATGATGCCCAACAAGCATAATAGGTTTAGTGCAACTATGTGGAGGACCCACAGATGAGACTTTCCAAAGGCCACCTAGTCTTTTACTTCGTGAGGCATGCCAAACCGCCAAGAACGAAGGCCTTATGCACATTGTCATGTTGACTACATTAAAATAGTGAGACGACTTTTGTTGGAAGTCGAATTTATGTACTCAACATTTTGCTGCAATGGACCAACCATTAATTGCGGCCTGCCTAAATCTTCGTTGTTATGAAAAATTTGACCTTCATAAATTTCAGAAGGAAAGCCTGCTTCGTTTGAGCTGAAAAATATTAGAAAGGGCCAGGAGGAATCACACTCGTCTTACGATCCCATTGTTCTGGATTGTTCAATTGTTCCTTGTTAGTTAGTTGTCTGCGTCCATCGATTCTTACTCCTACCAACATTGCGCTCTTGTATGTGATCTTCAATTGGCTCAATACCATATTTTCATCATTCGAATATAGTTAATTGTTGAAATCCATTAAATTTGGTTCTGGTTCAGTACAACCTATCGCGCCTGAATTAGTACTACAACTATCCATAGTTTCGTATGAACCAACGTCATCATTATCCATCATACTTCTGTCAACCAATATTTTCATTTTGCCTGACTGAGGTTACGTACGACGAAGATACTAGATTTTCTTGGAATGTACTATTACTTTGTGTAACCATAATTGGACGTCGATTGCCGCCACTACCGATGTGCGAACGAAATTGATTTGGCATAAAATTTAGGTTGCCTCTGACAAACGAGTTGTCCTGAAAATTATGTTAATGCATATCTACATGAATTAACTTCTCTCTTCCGTACCATGGGTTTGTACTGCTAAAATAAAATATTTAGTTATGCTTCAATTTTGCTAAAACGGAATATGAAAATGAAATAGTAACATACTAAAGTTCAATATACTTACGTTTGTGCCCCCGTTGACGGACCAGCAACATCACCAAAATTAATTTGTTCGGTCTCGACGTACACAATGACAGGATCATTTCTAGCCTCCAATAACATAAACTCACATACCTCATCATCAGTGACATGTGTAGCACAGTAGCCACCATTACTACGAAGGCGACATGTTAGGCTGACAGTATTTGTTGTAGGATTTATCCTAAGTGCGCTCATTACTCGGTCTTTTAGCATAGTAAGTGATATGTCATAATCAACAATGATTGGTCGATTTTGCCCACCAATATATGTGGCTGTGAACTCATCCCCGATGCGCAACTCTCCACCAAAAAATAATAGCAAGCGTGACATTCTATCCTAAATTAAAGATAGACGAGGGTCAATTAATAGAATTTCATATGTTTTAAAACATCTTGACTTATCATAGTGCACATAATGTACGTAATGAAAAACGTTTTAAAGCATCAGAACGCACTTTTCACACCTTTTTTTTAGAAATGAACGTAATTAAATTTTTTGATTCATATGTTGGCCTTCAATGTTTAGGCTAAAGTACTACTTCTTCCTTAGACCAAAAAATAAAAATAGTGTCCTTACTTTGATTTAGTAGATCGGTCTCTACCAGATATCAAATAAAATCTCTTCTAAAAATATCATGATTTCTCATCGACACCTCTCTAATCAATTTTTTTCTAAATACTTTTTCCTATTATTTAAATTTTTTTTTCCTAAAATCTAATGACATATCGAAAGCCATATCAATTAATAATTTTTTTAAAATAAAAAGTGCTCTACATGTATGCTATCCATAATATCCTTTTTTAATTGTATATTTGAGTTTACATTTTTTTCAATAATGAAATAAAATAATATTCCATAAATTAAATTTGCTTCCGTGGTTTTGTATTCCACAAGCACAACTAAAGGTTAAATTTCTATTTCAAAGAATTAGATAAATTAATATCTTATATTAACATTTAATATAAAAAAATTAATTTAAGAAAATCCTATCTGCAAATACTCAGCATGGAGGTCCTCAAAATCACTCATAATGTAGTGGTTTTGTATACCGAACAGTTAATATCTTCACATATCTTATATTAACATTTAACATTTTATTTCATAGTTGAATTTTAAAAATACTCAAAATATTGTAATTTTTTTGTTACAGAAAAAAATTATTTTTTAATTTCAAATAATAAGAAAGATTAAATCACTCACTAAACATTAATGTTTAAAAAATTAAAAAACATTTCTACAAGTCTTTGCTATTCACAAAAAAACAATTTCTACAGAAATTTGCTATTAAAAAAAAAAATCAATTGTAACATGATTTTCCTACTCAGGAAAAATTATTTCAACCAAAATTTCATATTCAGAAAAATAAAATCAATTAGTTAATGCTTTCTTAAAATTGGAAATAACACAAAGCATAAAAAAGTAGATTGAATATTCAAAACACATTCAATCAAACTAATAAATCTGTCTTACAAACGGCAATCTAGTGAGGCCGTTCTTGATCACCCAACCGAAGCAGATCTTGAAAAAAAATAAAATTTTTTTTTCCAAACCCACATAACTACGTTGCTCTGCCCATAGGGCAAAACATTTTTTTAGTAGATCCTTACCACTCAAGCTTAGTTTCTTTTAAAAATTTATGGAAAAATTTAAAAAGGCTCTAACTAACGCTTTAGATCTTCATTTCAAGTAATTATCAAACGGATAAGTACACTGTATAAAATTATTTATACTTCAAATAATTTATGATACACTTTTAAATTAATATTATTAATAGACTCTGCCAAACCAAACACATGGATAAGCAATATGATAAATAAGCTCTCCGATCACGCTTCAAATGATAAATAACTTCAAATAAATACATGACGAAAAAATAAAAAAAATGTTTCCAATATAAACTATTCACTCAAGAGTTAACACCTAAATACTAAAAAAACTAAACAGCCTAACAAAAAATACAGGACAAATTACAAATTTAAGCAAACATTTTTTCTTCGTTGCAAATAACTCAAGAATAATTAACCATACAATACATTTTCTGCTGGCATTCAAATAAATGCATTAAAATCTGAAAGCAAAAAAAATTCAGGATAAATTAAAAAGACTTAGGAAAACTGTAAATAACTTTCTTTCTCTCTGAAGCTAAGGAAGTAAGAGAGCTGAGAGATAATGCACTAGCCCTCTTCACCACACCGCTGTTTATATAGGCATTCTTCATATGGCCTCTACATAACTCCCAACGCCATTTGCTCAACTCCAAACGCCATATAATTAAAGCCTTATCACTATCCAGCTGCACTGAATGCCACCATGCACCGCAAATTTACCGCATTTTTCGGATCTGGTCGGGAATGCTGCCAAAGCAGATAATAATTCGCAGCTGGAACAGCTCAGCTGCTTAGAATGCGCCGCAATGTTAAGCACATTCTTAAGAATGCGCTGAAATTTCCAGCGCATTCTTAGGAATGCGCTTAAACGCTTAGCGCATTGTTACGTATACGCTTTAGTTCTCGGCGCATTCTTAAGAATACGCGTTTAATTAAAGCGTATTAAACAATACGCCGGACTTTATAGCGTAATTGCTTCTTTTTAAATTTATTCCTAATTAAGCTTCTTCCCCTAATAACGCCGCGAATCGTGCTTCTTCCTAAAATTTTGCCTTATATGTGAGCAATGAAATAAATGTTTAAAATTATTTTTTTAAAATTTTTCCCACTACTTTTCAACATCTTTTCACATTGTTCTCTATGATTCAGTCAATAGGACTATGGTAGTCTAGTTATTATTCTTTGGTCCTATAGGCGATAGCTGACTAGGAAAATGATGGCCAAAGGGTATAAACATAAATATCATAAAATATTTATTTCTTTATATAAATAAGTACAAGATATATAAATAAGGAAGTCATGAGTGCTATTTATATGTAAATCCCATAAAATTTTATAATATGTATGGAAATCCCTAAAACCAAAAGCTAAACATAAATAAGCTTAACGTAGACGCACCTCGGATGTCCAGGACTTAATTGGCAACCTCGGTGGTTCTCTCTTCAGTTTTAGTGGTTTGGAATTTTGTCGTCTTGGAATTTTGGCTGTTACCTTCCTTACCTTCTTGGATGGCCCATCTCTGACAACTAGGGGGCAGTTTGAGTCCATTTAATTTTGGATTATATTTGCCTTTTTTTCGATCAGATTGTTGTTGGCCCTGATGATTATTGTTTATCTCTGGATGTAATCTTCTCTATGTGATCATATTGTGATATTGTGGTGAAATGCTCTTCTTTTCTATTGATTGTTTCTTTTGATTTTAAAAAAAAAAAGCTTAACGTAGACCAACCTAGTTTATACAGCAAGTGCGAGCTCAATTCTCTTATAATGTAATATAAAGGCTATAAAGTAAAAATTTTTACATAAAATGATAAACGTTATGTTATCAAATATACTTTTATTTTTTAGTGAGAAAAGGACTAAAATGATTCCTAACTCTTTGTGAGGGACCAAAATGATCTTCAAATTTTTTGAGTGATTAATTATGTCCATCGACTCTTTAGAAAGATATATTTTTTATCCTAACATCAAATTTTGAGATTAATGATGTTAAATAAAAAAATATTTTAGTCATTTTTAATTAAATTATTTATTAAATATAATTTTTAAATAATAATAATTTTTTAAAATTATTAAACATTTATTTAATTAAAAAATTAATAATTCTAATTTAACATAAAAATTATTAATAATTCTATTTTTAATTTATGATTATTATAGACTAGAATTATTAATACTTTTTAATTAAAAAAATATTAAATAATTTTTTTTAATTAGAAATACTATTACGTGAAAATATTTGATAAACAATTTAATTAAAAAAATGAGCAAAATACATTTTGATTTAACACTAGAAAGCTGCTTTAAAAGGCAAAAAAAAAAACCATCTCAAACAAAGCCTTAATCCAGCACAATGACAACCTTTGATGTTCGAGTGAAAAGACAATCAGAAAACACTAACCAAATGAAATGATCTTGGATCAATGATTGTGTTTGTAAAATACAAAATCTGAACCAGAAAGCTTAAACCATAATAAGTTATGGAGCCAATGCTTGTAGAACACTTAAAAGTGGGGGCAAAGCTGCCACTCTAAATTCTATTGTAAGCCACAGTCTTGCTGAAAAGGCGTCTGATAAAAACTACCTGCAGAAAACTTGCAGCAGCCAATGCAATGTACTCTGCAATCGTATAGCCGATGAGGCGCCTTCTTGTGCTCTCATTTGCTGGAGAACATAGATGATAAAATGCAATGAGCAAGGAGATTTTCAATAAGAAAAGTACTGTAAAATGTAAATCATTTCCACACTTTGGCTAATTGGAAAAGTTAGCATGCAGAAAGAAAAATATCACGAATAGAGATGGTTGAGTGCCTCGGGGGCTCTATCTCCACCGCCGGCAAACCAAGCTCAAATGTGCCACCTAACAACTAACAAAGTTGCACTTCATATGCTCACTCTTTCGACCTGCCGAAAATGCAAAATATCTTTCCAGCTTGCAGATCTATTGAAGCTAACTAACCTTTATTTAACTTATCATCCCCAATAATGAGTATGATCAGTTCAATGACATATTTTCAACTTTCAACTGTAATTAATCAAAGTTGGAAGCTATCTTACAATTGAAATCTTGAAATTCTAAGACTTATTATTTAAATGATCAAATTTCTCCAAGGGGATGTTTGATTTGCTAGAAAAAAAAAAAAAGAATACAAAGAATTTCAAATATAAGGAATTTTAAATTTTGAGTATTTAGTTTGATGAAAAAGGAATACGGTGTAAAATTTTATTAAATTATTTTTTCACTCCAAAGTTCATTTTGATGTATTGTAAACTTGCCCATTTTTTCAATTGAATTCCACTACGTTGTCCCCGCCCACAGCTCGTCTCACCACCTCCCGTGGGCCTCCCATTGGCTGCCGCCACCGCCCACTAGTAGCTGTTGCCATCATCTGCAGCTAGTGTAACCACTAGTTGTCATCGTTATCGACCGTTGCCGACCACCATCGTCATTTGGCTTTACATTGTATTTAAGCCAAAGAAAAAGATCATTGACATTCATTTTACGCTAATTCAAACAACTTCTAAACTTTCAAATACACTACATTTTTTTTATACTGCATTCTTCAACAAATCAAACAACCCAATAAATGTATATGCAACTCCTTATCAGCAAGAAAACCTAATAATCAAGACCCATGGTTAAAAAGGACACAAAGTTGATAAGCATAATTTGCTACCAACAAAAGCTTAATTGAAAGGGCTGAAATCCTCCATCAATGGCTCTTCTCCGTACATTTTACACAAAAAATATATAGTGCAACTTATACACAAATCCTTAAGTATAAGAGGCATTTCATCCACCAATGGGCATTTGCTCTTGCGCTATGGTCCCTGGTTTTCAAACAGAGGTCTCAGGTTCGAGACATGATGGCTACACTTGAAGGATATCTCTGGAATGCATGGGTTTAAATCTTTAACTGATCTCATGCCCAAAAAATCTGTACCTAGATTTATGCCCATCTTATCATTAATAGAATATTTAAAATATATTTCTATCCTATAGGAAAAAGGAAAAGAGGTGTTTCATACTGGTGTTCATTTTTTAAAATATTTTGTTTCCTAACATTAAAGTTCGAGACTTTCTATCAGAACATCTAAACTTTCCTAGAATAAATCCTAATCCGTGGAGCCAAGTGGAGAAGGATCATACCCATCCCTAACTGATCTCTTCCCACCCCTTTTTCCCTCTACCCTGTTTTTCTTTGCAAATATGGGTCTAATGTTGATTATAAATAGAATGTCACTACAACAACAACACTATCAAGTCTTGATCCCACTATGTAGGGTTGGTTACCTGAATCTTTTTTCTCCGTTGTATCCTTTTTGAGTCAAATTTTCATTTAAATCTATAAAAAAGGGTCATTTCTAATATTTTCTAACCAAGTCTTTTAGGGTATACCTATATCTTTTTTAACATAGAATAAATCTAATACATCTACTCTCCTAACTGGGTTATCAGAAGGCCAACATTTTATGTGACCAAACCATCTAAGGCGACTCTCTGCAATCTTATCTGTCACTAAAGCTACTCCAACCTTTCGCGTATATGCTTGTTTTGCATTTTGTCTCTAAGAGTAGAGCCAATCCACCCGAGCATCCTCATCTCTGCAACACTTAACTTAATTGTATACTTCTCTTTTAATGGTCAACATTCTGCGCCATAAAGCATCGCAAGTCTCACCACCATCTTATAGAAACTTACCTTAAGTTTGAGGGGTACTTTTCTAACACACAATAGGCCCGATGCACTCCTCAACTTCAACCATCCAACTTGAATTCTACTAATAATATCCCCATCTATTTCAACATCACTTTGGACAATAGACTAGAGATATCTAAAATGTGTACTTTGTTTAATGACTTGATTGCCCAAAGTCACAATCCCCCCACTAGATCTATCACTACTATACTTATACTTCATGTATTCGATTTTTGATATAATCAAATGAAAACCTTTTGAATCTAAGGTTGACATCCATAATTCAAGTTTACCTTCAATTCCCTCTCTAGTCTTATCAACAAGAAGAATATCATCAACAAAAACATACATCAAGGTATATTCCCTTGCAAATGTCGAATAAGAACATCCATGATGATAGCAAAAAGATATGGGGTTAAAGCTGATCCTTGATGTAATCTAACCAAAATAGGAAACTACTTGTTCAAACTAGGGGTGTGAATATGGGACAAGACCCGAAAAACCCAACCCGAACAAGACACGAAAATTTTAGGTTCGGGTTAGAGTTTTTGACCTGTTTCAAAAATCGGGTCGAGTTCGGGTTGACCCGGATTGACGCGCTGACCGAGTTTTCCGCTTGTTTAGCGTTGCCCGAGGCCAATCACGTGTCGCCCTGGCTTGCCCACAACAGGCTTCCTACCACGTGACCGCGCCTGCCCACTTGCCCGACACCCCAATTCAAACCACCTTGTGTTTGAACATAAGTAATAACTTCTACATACATTTTCTTAACGAATTGAGTATAAGCATTTTAAACTCTTTCTTTTCTAGAACTCTCCTTAGCACTTCTCTTGGAACTTTATCATAAGCTTTCTCTAAATCAATAATATCATATGTAGATCCTCCTTTCTATACTTCTCCATTAAACCTCTCAATAAATATATACCTTCCATAGTAGACCTACCCGACATGAATCCAAATTGATTTTGAGAAATTTTAGTATAACATCGTAATATATGCTCAACAACGCTCTCCCATAATTTTAAAGTATGATACATTAACTTAATTCATCTATAATTTGCACACTCCTGTACATCACCTTTATTCTTAAAAATAAGAATCAAAGCACTTTCTCTACTCATTTGACATTATTTAGCCTTCAAAATAATATTGAAAATTTTAATAAGCTAAGAAATTCTTTCATCTTATAAATATTTCCACATCTCTATTGGAATATTATTAGGACCAAAAACTTTCAACACTTCATTATTTTTAAAACCTCTCTAACTTCAATTTTACTAAAACGCAGATAAAAACAAAAAGCTATATTTTCATTTAAAGAGCTAAGGTCACTAAAGTCAATCATATTCTCACAATCCTCATTGAGAAGCTTATCAAAATATCTTATCCACCTTTGTTGATATCATCTTCTAATAAAAGTATTTTTTTTATCTTCATCCTTAATGCAAGTCACCTAAACTAAATTCTTATTTTTCCTATCTCTTTGCTTGACAAACTTATACATACATCTTTCACCCTCCATATTATCTAAAATCTATTATATAAATCAATAAAGCTAAATTCTTTGCATCATATATTGCTTTATTAGACTCCTTACAAGCCACTTTATATATTTCCTAATTTTTTTAGTTTTTACATCTAAACCAATTTTTATAACAAAGTTTCTTATTTTTTATCTTTTTGTGTACATTTTGATTTCACCCAAATATTTTTATTATTAGGAGCTTTTCCTTTAAATGGAATGTCACTAAACCTATAAAAATTGGACTCAAAAAAATTTTTAGATTCCTCTCAAGATAAGTGTGTTATTAGATTTAGATTCTTTGAGCACATTGTAAGTCTTCATGATAGCTTCTAGGGAAAAGCTCTATCTTGTACCGGTGGGAGGTGTGGGAATTTTGGTGACTTCCATCATTGATCCTTTTTCATCTACATGCTTCGTAATTGATTTTGTAAACATGATTAATAATTTGTCAAATTTAGTGCAATATTGTTTTTATTTTTGGGTATGAGCCTAGGCCATTATGTGGATTTTATTGGTTCTCATATTCTAGTAATTTTTTTTTTATTTTGTTGATATTTATTTATTAGTTAGAACTAGGGGTGCAAACGAGTCGAGTCGAGCTGGAGCCAGGGGTTGTTCGAGTCGAGCACGACTCTCATATACCGAGCTCGAGCTCAAGCTCGAACTCGAGTCTATCTCAAAATCCGAGCTCGAGCTCGACTCGTTTCGCTGTCGAGCGGCTCATCAAGCTCAATTCGAGCTCAAAATGTCGTCGCGTACTATCGCCTTCGCTGCCGTGCAGACGTCCGTCGTGGTCGCGTACTTGCGGTTTGTCGTCGCATCAATGTCAATGTCGCGTCCAACGACGACATCGTCCGTCATCACGTCGTTCGCGCGTTCAATCGAGCTCCAAGCTTCGTCGCCATGTCCAACGATGACGTCGTCCGTCCTCGTCGTCACGCGCTCAATCGAGCTCCGAGTTTCGTCGTTGTCATCGTCCATTCCGAGTTTCGTCGTCATCGTCGTCGTCGTCGCGTCCAATCGGTAGTCACGAGCTTCGTCGTCGTGAGCTTCGAGCTCAATCTTGTTGCGTCCATTCCGAGCTTCGGTGTCGTCATCACGTTCGTTTCGAGCTTTGCCATCGTCGTCGCTTCCGTTGCGAGTTCCGCTGTCGAGATCTGATCCGCCGTCGTCGTCCCGAGCTCGATCCTGTGAATCCCACCCAGTCGAGCAGACGAGTCGAGTCAGATGCCTGTTCGAGCTCGAGCTCGTTAAGCATTCGAGCTCAAAATTGTGTTCGAGCTCGACTCGCGAGCTCGTTTAGCTCGGCTCGTCGAGCCTGTTGTCGAGTCGAGCCCGAGCAGGCTCGCCGGCAATCGCGAGGCCGGCCTTGACCTCAGTTGCACCCCTAGTTGGAACGGTTTTAATGTGTGCTTTATGTTTCCACTTCCAAAAGACAAA